AAAAAAAGTATTACAATATAATAATAATATGGTCACTCAATCCACAAATTTTTGTGGGACACTTTTGTGGGCAATTGTTTACTATTTTGTCCACAAAATATACAGTCAATTCACTTTACAGTATATTCTGTGAAGCGCTTTGAGACATCTCGAAGATGTGAGAAGTCGCTATATCAAATGGAAGTATTATATGGCCATTAAGCATTATTCCTTTTTACAGTTGGTGTCCAAGCTACATTTTTATCTTTTCAGATGAGAATGGCTTGCTTTGATATTTGAGATGTAAATTGAAATTCTGTCTTCCAGGAAAAAATATATAATTCAAAATTAAAAGGGCAAGTTGTGGGAGAAAGATGATGTGACAGATATTAATTAATAAACAGGTTGTGCTTTAGTAGTTAACATTATGGACTAAGCAAAACCTTGATTATTATCATAACTTCTGCTTTACTGGTAAACATTTATATAATGCCTTTCATGCTGGGAGGATGTCTCAAAGTGATTCAGGCAGCAGCTGGGAGCCCAAGGTGGGTTGGGGGTGTTAGGTAGATGGCAAAATGTACAGTTGAAGCTAGGTCTTGAGGTGTGTTTTGAAGGCAGAGAGGGAGGAGGTGAGGTAGGAAGAAGGATTCCGGGATTGGGTAAATCCAGTAGGAACATGAGTGAAGCGAATGTCTGAGCAATACACCCCAAACCTCTGGAGCTCCCTGCCTCTACCCCTTCACCTCGCTCCTTACCCTATCTGTCTTTAAATCATTCCTGAAAATAAGTGCAGGACATAATTATGTGCATGTGAGTCCTAATCCTAATCCTTGCATTTTGATATAGCGCTTTTCACGTCGGGAGGACGTCCCAAAGCGCTTCACAGAACACACTGTAAAGTGAATTGACTGTATATTTGTGGGCATCCTGTAAATAAGTTGCACTTCAGAATGTCAAAAAACAGGAAATAGTTTGCAATAAAGTGGGTGTCATTAAAATTTTTATTTTAGGATTATTTTGATGAAACTGCAGATCAGTATCTAAGAATGCAGTATTAATGCTAAGAGTTTTGTTTTGCTGACTACTACACTCTACTGGGAGTTGTATGAATCATGTAACTTCATTAGCTCAGTCCTGGAATCCTGTAGCTCAGTGGTTTGAGCACTCACCTTGCAAGTGGGAGACCTGGGTTTGATTCCTGGCAGGGCTAAATGTTGGGCAAGTTTCCTTACTCCACACGCCTCTGTTTACCTAGCAGTAAGTGGGAACCCGGTTGTTGGTCGATTGGCAGATCGCTTTTCCGGGACTAATAATTCCTTCAAAAATAAATAATAATAAAATAATAAATTGGTCACTCAACCCACGACTGTTTGTAGGACACTGCTGTGCGAATTGGCTGCTGCATTTTGGCCACAAAATAAACAGTCTATTCACTTTACACTATATTCTGTGAAGCGCTTTGAGATGTCTTGAAGACCTGATAAGGCGCTATATCAAATGCAAGGGTTATTATTATATTCATAAATAGTCGTGGTTCAAGCTGTAGGTCGATCTTTCATGTGTTCTTCGAGTACACTTGAAACATGCTTAAATTCTTCGCCCTTTAGTGGTCCAATCTCAGGTTAATCACTGTCAGTAAAGCTGGGGTTGTAATATATATATATTAATAAGCATTTAGATTGATATAGACTGATAATAATTAAATTACAGTGGAGGTTAATTTAAATGAACTAGATTTGTCGCACCTGATTAATTTTGTAATTCATTGCTTATTTTCAGCATTGGTAACTTTTACATTGCCCTTATCAGTTGAAATAATATGAATAATCCTTGTTTGATATAGCACCTTATCACATTATTGAAACAATCCAAAGCGCTTCAAAAAATTAAGATTCTTAGAGTGTCATGACTGTGTGATGTTGAGCACAGCAATCTCCCAAATGACAAGTTTTATCTGGAGAATTTTGTCTGTACACTAAAATAAACCTTTATTCTTTTCTGATTTATAGACTGAAATTATTAGAATATAAAACAATAACAAATTGCATTGGTAGATTTATATTATTTCTGATATTCCTTAATTGTTTTCTTTTTACCACCTGCCCTTTAAAGTTGTATTTCTCTGTGATTCTTTTGCTTTTTATGCCACAAGGCAGTTTGAGATGAAGACGACCTTTTGGCCCATTTGATCTCAGCCTTCCAAAAAACTCACCTATCACAGTTATCAATCTGTTTCCTAAATGATTCCTGGTTTCAAACCACTCTTCCTGGTAACCTGTTAATGTTGTTAAGTATCCTCTGGGTAAACAACAGTATTGTGTACCTTTCACATTTGGAAGACATCTCAAAATGCTTCACACAGCTGATCTGGAGCCTCAACTGGTGAGGATGGGAGAGGGGGTGAAAACACATTGAAAATATGGATCATAAGGTGGGTTTTCAAGGTTTGGGTAGGTGGGAGGGAGGGGAAGGAAGAGGACATGGTGGAGCGATGAAGAGTGGTGGAAGAATGTTGAAAGCTTCCCCAGTGATTGTAGGCTGGATCTGCTCGGGGTTAAAAATGCAGGTGTTTGCTGAGTGAAATGAATGGTCACGAGTAGGGTCCAGGGAGGTCACAGAAGTAGGGTGGGTGAGGATGCACCTCAGGCAGCATGGGAACAAATATTTTTTTTCTGCTGTCCTGAAATTGCCCTCCTATCCCAGCTGATCTGAAAATATTGATCTGTTTACTTTCTGAATCCCATTTAAAATCTTATATAAAATTGGTCACTCATATGACATGTCAAGTGACTGCCTCAATAGTGGAAGGCAAACTGGATGGACTTTGGACTTTTTTTGCCTAGAAAATTCTTATGTTCTTCTTGATCTATCTGTTCTCATCTGTTCACCCCCTCTGATCTTGCTGCATATCCCCCCTCTTTACCAGTGGCACCATCGGTGGCCGAGCTGTCAACTCTACATCCCTAACCTCTGGAACCTCCTTCAACCTGTTTGTCTCGATTTTCTAATTAAAATGACACAACTTTATGAAAGATCTAAACTTATTTAATGCATAATTGAGCCCAAACCTTCATACATTTTAACACATTTTCATAACTGATGAAGCTTATTTGCTTTCCAGATCTCCTAATTTCAGTTACAAAAAGTATATAAACATTTTAAACGCCGTTGAGATAGTGGTGTCAAAACATAGCTTTCTCTATTAATTTTGTCAAAATATCTTTGGGATGCTGGCCTTTTGTTGAGCAACTTTAAATGTCACACGATCTTGAACTGTTTGCACCTTAATCCTGGATAAAAGCACTGTAACAGTGATTGATGCCCCATTAGTGATGGGATTGCACAGCAGCTGCCAATTTGGCTTGCTGCTGCATTAACAGCTGTTCCATTTTAGTTTGGGCAGTGTGAACATGAAAAGTTGCCCGATTAGACTTTGCAATGGATCAAAATAAATTAAGCTCCAGAATTTAATTGAACTCTGAAGCAAAGTAGATTGATTTTTACTGTCTCAATGGTCCAGCACTACTAAATCAAATTATTTACTTCATCATACAATGCAAGTGCATAAACTTTATTTTTACTATCCTGAAGTTATGATGCAGCTTTGAGCTTAATGACACATCTATGCCATATATGTGTAAAAGTTAGCAATAATTTGTCAATTGCAGCCTATGGGTTATGAATTGTATTTATTCTGGCCGTGCAAATGAAGCGTGAGACAACTCCATTTTCAAGGATATTAAGAGTTGTACGCAAATTCCATTTTGTGAATGCTTCATAAGATTTGTGATTTAAAATATTGAATAAAGAAATCTCACCTGACTAGGTTTGAGAGCGCACCGATGAATCAATGCTTTGCATCCCCAGCATTACTTGCAGCTTGAATCTACTTATCAAGAAGCACACAGTTACAAGATTTTAAATGCTTTGTTTCAAGAACATGATAAAATGTGTCCCTTTCTCTTTGACCGTGCCTTCAGCTTCCCTCTCGACTCTCTACCCCCTCCTCGCTCCCTCCCTTCCCTCACCCTGACCATTTCCCCCCTGCTCGGGTCCTGACCCAACTGTCCAGCGCCTTGGGACGTCCTCCCGACGTGAAAGGCGCTCTATAAATGGAATCTTGTTGTTGCTGTTGTTGTTGTTAATTTGTAAGTTTTAAAATTTTGGAGTCCTTACTCGCCTCTTGTAATGACCACATGACTATTCCCATGTTCAGATCTGTCTCCTGTGATATGAGAACTTGTGCTTAGCCTTATTAGCCTACTCAATGGATGTCTGATGAGTGCTCTGCTTCTTTGATTTTGTGTTCTTGTGCTACATTACTAAACTCGTTTACCATGTACACCAGATGTTAAACGTTTTTGATCAGCTGGTGTCCGACAAGTCCTATCACCATGTTTGAGTATCCAAATCAAACAGAGTTTCATGCATACCATTTACATATGGTGTCTGGAATGGAATACACACTCTCTCTGAAGGGACCAATTTGGCTTACCTAATTCTGGAAGGTATTAGGTATAGGTTGGCTAGAGCCATGGCTTTGGGACCTCAAATTGTGTGTTGGGGGGATACTGCTAAAGTTTAATCAGCTAAACTGCATAGCTTGCCATTGAAACCACTTTGCCACTGCTTGTTCAGCTTGGACTTGTCTGTTACGGCTTGGGTTGCAGCATTAATAGAAGCTGAGTGGGAAGACTATTCAATCCATAACTGATCAGAATTTGACTAAAGCAGAGTCTCTGATCTTACAAAGAAATCTTGCCTGATTCCACACAAAATGTTTGTAGTTCCTGGAGACTTGGTAGTCTACTGTTTTTCTATTTTTAACTAATAAAGTCTTGCGTTATCTAAGTATGGTTGCATAATCACTTCTACTCACAGCTCAATTTCCGGAGAAGGTCAAACCTTATGAATTTTTACAAATGCAGGTCCAAAAAAAATTACACATTTTGAAAATCTCTTTGAGTCTCTAAGAGTCAAGTAATTTAATTTTTACTTTTTGTGATGCTGTGTTGCAGAGAAGAAAGAGGTTTCTCAAAGTTTAGAAAACTTCACAGCAAAGTGTCCTGGTACAATGGAGATTGTCGAACTTCCTGATGGTGTGAAACTGCCTCCAGTCCCTCTTACCAAGCTTCCAATCATCAGGTATGTTTACTTTATACTATTTTGAGTACAATCATATGTTATTACATTAATCTCTTTTTTTACTTCTCCTTTCTGTTTTCCTACCTATAGCTGGGATGCTAAGAAAGTTTCACTGCAAAGTCTACATTAGTCAGTCAATCTCCAATTATTTGTAGAGCAATTAAGGATCAAGGTTGGGATTCCAGTAGTTTATTGCAGTAATTTGTGTAATAAATTGACAATCCTTACACTTGATACAGTGGCTTGATACAGTATGTCATCAAAACATCTCAAAACACTTCAAATGATTTACTGTAGAAATCTGTCCATGACTGCATTAGTAGAATGTGGCAAACAATTTGTGAACAGTATTGTTCTACAAACAGCCAATGAAGTGAGTGACTAATTTTATTTGTAGGATTATTGGCCAGGACCTGGGGAGAAATACAGAGGGAGAAATTTCCTTTTGTGTTTGATATCGTGCATGGGGTCTAATAATAATAACAATAAATAATCATCCTTCTATTTAATATAATGCCTTATCACATTGTCAATGTCTCAAAGCTCTTCACAGGATTCACTGTAAAATGTAGTGACTATTTCATAGGCAAATGCAGCACCCAATTTGTGCTTCACAATATCCCACAGTCAGGAAGTGAATGACCAATTTTATTTGGAGGATTGTTGGTCAGGGCACACCTAGAAACTCAGAGCACAAAGAGAAACCTGATATTTAATCTTGCACTTTGCACATTGAGTGTTTTCTTTCCTGACCTTCAGTCTATTTAGAATTAACCAGTAGAAAATCAACTTCGGACAGCTTTCTATCCAGAGGGGAAAGTACAGCCTGGACATGTCATACTTCATAATAATTGGGAAATCATCTTTTGGCCTTGAAGAATTCCATCCCCCAGTCACTCTGCCTCGCCCCGACCTTAGCCTCCTTCAAGTCCCACCTCAAGACCATCCTCTTCGACCATGCCATCGGCCACCTCCCTTCCCCCCCGCAATCCCAGTTCGGGTCTGAAGTTCTGCACTCTGTCCGGCACCTTGGGATGTCCTCCCGACGTGAAAGGCGCTATACAAATGTAATCTTGTTGTTGTTGAAGAAGAAGCAATTATTTAAATGGGCTCAACTCCATGTATTTCGCCCCGAGGTATCTGGTCACTTATTTAAGTGGACAGAAAACTAATCAGCTCTGAGGCTTCCATCAATGTAGCCATGAATTGACAAAATGCAAATACTGCAGATGCTGGAAATCTGAAACAAAAACAGAAGTCGCTGGGAACACTCAGCAGGTCAGGCAGTGTCTATGGAGAACGGAAAGTGAGTCATCGTTTCGGATCCATGACTCTTCGTCAGAACTGGAGCATGTTGGGAGGGAGAGGCTTTTAAGGCCTAACAGAGAGTGGGGAGGCAGGACAAGGAAGACAAAGGAGAAAATGGAGTAGAAGACAAGGCATGATGGGATAAAGAGGTGTTAATGATGCAAAACAAAGGGGGGGTTTGCAACAAAACGGGAATAAGGGTGTTAATAATGCAAATGAATTGTGAATTGTTCCAGCTCTGCAGCCCCACAATTGACGAGGAGAGGGAGAGAATGCCTTTTGAGTTAAAACGGGAAAGTATCCATAGCAAAGACTTGCATTCATTTGCCAGTCATAAGTCCATTTGCAGGCCCAATCATGCAACAACAACAACAAGATTCCATTTATAGAGCGCCTTTCACGTCGGGAGGACGTCCCAAGGCGCTGGACAGTTGGGTCGGGACCCGAGCAGGGGGGAAATGGTGAGGGAAGGGAGGGAGCGAGGAGGGGGGAGAGAGTCGAGAGGGGAGCTGAAGGCACGGTCAAAGAGAAAGGTCTTGAGACCGGCCTTGAAGGAGGAAAGGGAGGAGGCGGCGAAGGCACTGGGGGATAGAGTTCCAGAGCCTCGGGGCTGAGAGGCTGAAGGCCCGGCCACCGATGGTAGGGCGATTGGGGCGGGGGATGTGGAGCAGACCGAAGCCAGAGGAACGGAGGGTACGGGGAGGTAAGTAGGGGGATAGTAGGTCGGAGAGGTAGGAGGGAGCAAGGCCGTGAATGGCCTTGTAGGCGAGGATGAGCATCTTGAATTCAATCCTCTGGGGGATGGGGAGCCAGTGGAGGCGAGCGAGGGTGGGAGTGATGTGGTCCCGAAGCCTGGTGCGGGACAGTACACGAGCTGCAGAGTTCTGAATGACCTGCAGCTTGTGGAGGGAGGTGCCGGGAAGGCCGGCGAGGAGAGAGTTCCCATAGTCCAGCCTTGAGGTGATAAAGGCACTCTTTGTAAGATCTTTTCTGCCTCTTCTGATTCCAGTTTCCTCTGACATGTCAGATGCAAATTTAACTTTCTTGCATTTGGGTCAAATCCTTGATACTAATAAGTACAAGGAACACAGGTAAAATCCCAAACCTCGGAGGTTATTTCCTTAATTCCTTCCCCAATTTGACCAAGCTCCCCTCTCCTTTATAGCTAATTTTAAAACCATGCCCGCATCTTGCCTTTGATACCCAATGACATAAGTTTGCGAAGGAATCTTTTATGTGGTACTTTGCCAAATGTCTATCATATGACTTCCCACAGTCAATTTAATTTGTTGCCTCGTTAGAAAAGTTTATGATGGGGTAGGGGAATTGTTCCTGATCATGGGCATGAATTTCAGACCTGACTATGGCTGAGGGTGAGGAAGTCTGAAATTGGGTGAGCTTAGTGGAACTGGTGACCAGCAGGTTTTGGGAGGTCTAAGGAAAAGCTGCATGGGAACGTTTTAGGTTTTGGAGTGGGCAAGCAAGACCAATCCTGGATAGTAAGTGTTTTTGAATCCTACAGGTTAATTAAGGAGGGGTGGGCAGGCAATTTCTCCTTCTCTTCTGTTTTTTTAGTGAATGTGTTTTGTTGCACCTAGTGACTTTCCACATGATTATTAATCAGGGAGAGGTCCATAGATGAAGCTAAATTCCTGGTGCTGGAAACCACTGTTTGCTAGGCCTTGGGTCAGGAGCACACTTATTCTGTCATTAGGTTGACAACCTACAGAAAGTCATCAATATTCAGATTTTTAATCCTTCAACAAACTTGGACCTTTGTGTTGGAGTTTTCCTATAGTATTTCTGGTTCTTTCTGCAAAATAAACTGCCTAACCTAGGTATGGTTTATGTGATGCTTATAATGGATTATGGCTTTCAAATGCAGACTCCTTTAACTTTTTTTTCTCTTCTCCCTTGTTCTCAATAGATCTGTAAAACTCTTAAACCTTCCATCCAACTTGCGTCCACAAAAAGTGAAGAACACACTCAATCAAAACATGACCACCAAGAGTCCTTTCATTTACTCACCAATCATTGCCCACCATCGTGGTGAAGAGAGGAACAAAAAAATAGGTATGTAAACTAAATCTATAGGGATTTTTATTTGGTGTGTATCCGCATTTTTTAAAATCTTTATACTGGATCTGACGAGTTTACTAGTCCCTCTGTATTTCATTGTAACGCTGAGCTTTTCCAAAACTACTATGGTCTGTTTTCATTATCTGCAAGAGCAATGAGAGTGAAGATTGTTTTTTTAAACATTAACTTAGCCTCAGCATAGCATTTCTGTTTTAAAGCGCTTGTGGTGCTGCTTAGAAGAGAATGTCTGACCTGTTTCTGTGTGCGCCAGATGTCATTACGAATACAATCAGATCTGGCTTTACTGAATTCATTTGGAAAACCTGCTTTTCTTAAGGATTGCAAACGTCGAATTAATCAGTCACCAACAAAAGAAATGAAAGCTAGACAAATGCAGTACACTGACTCAATTCGCTCGCTTCAAGCAACAGCCAACCGTTCAATAAAAATGTTTTCGGAAGACAGCATGCAAAAAATAACAGGACCGTATAGACACTGATATCATCCAAAACTGCCTGTAACATGTAATTCTTTCGCCTTGAGAAAATTGCCTTCTATGTTGCTCATTTTATGCATCCATTAATTATACACCAATTTTAACATGTCCATAAAGGTATCATCAAAACAATTGGTGTCAGGGCTCCAGAAAACACTCATTGTGAGCATCACAAACAGTTAGTGGTGGAGAGTCTGATGGATAAGATTTCTGGACCCTGCTCCCTCCTCTGAACTATTTCCTGTTTCCAAATTCAGATGAGATGTGGGGGTGGGGGCAGGTCAGACAAACAATATCTTGTTTCTTTCCTGCATGCACCTCAGAAAAAAAACAGTTAAAGTGAGCAGCTGTCATCTGTTAAACCAATGGGAAGTATTGGAAGATGTGCAGGAGCATTACGGAATAATTAAAGCATAGCTTGTTAGATAGACCATCTCAATGTTCAAGAGATATAAAGATACTTCCTAACTCTTTCCTAAGAGCCCAGTACTGCTCTCAAAATAAATTGGTAGCATGTGTGGTTGCGTTTACTTTTGTTCTGTTTGTTGTGGTGACCATTTGAAAAATTGGTTGTTCAGCAGGGTAAAAGTTGAAATGTTTTCAGAAAAACTGATGGTACATATGGCAGAGCAGGTTATTCTCAACCATGTGGCCATTGATTGATGAAGGAAGGTAGAAGGTAACCTGAGCGTGATAATTTTAACCAATCTTAAAACAAATGATATGCTAAACCTGACCTTGGATAGCAAGGAATTCCTGTCCTGCACGTGTTTTTTTTTTGGTAGTGACGAACATGACGATACACTGTTAGTTAAATGGCAGAATTTGCCTTTGAATCTCAAAATCAGGAGTCTTTGCCTGTTATCTTAATAGAATTATTTGAAAATCTACTTTTGGCACTTCTGGCCTGAAGCATGCTTTTGGAGAAAAAGAAAACTAATTATAAATCAGCAGTTCTTAAAGGACACTTTTTTTAAATGAAGCTAACCACTAAATTACTGAAAGAAATGACAAGTTTAGGCAACTTAATATTGTAGTTGGTCAAATGTGTGCAAATCTTTTAGGCAATATTTGCTTAACCAAGAAATGTAATGTACATGTTTCCAGATAAATTGCTGCTGGTTTTCTAACTGCAATAAGTATCTAATAACATATTTTTGGGTCTAAAAGATTAGTACTTTTATGTTTTAATTTATCCAAGCTAGTATAATATTCAGTACTTTTTAAAAATGTATGCCTAGTTATTAATTATTCCTACTCCATTACTTTATCTTTTTATCTAATAAATTGGTCACTTCAATTCACAACTGTTTGTGGGATACTGCTGTACGCAATTGGCTACCGCTTTTCGCCCACAAAATATCCAGTCAATTCACTTTACAGTATATTCTGTGACATGCTTTGAGACATCTCGAAGACGTGATAAGGTCCTATATGAAATGCAAGGATTATTTTTATCTCAGTTTCTACATTTTCTCCATAATTATTTGGGTATTTCATTATAAATGATAAACCTTGCATTATTATAGCTCTTTTCATATCAGGAGTACTCAAAAGTGCTTCGCAGAATTTATTTACTGTTAAGGAAAGCACCTCTGACAATGCAGTAAATCCTATCTATTGGCCATCTGGAGCAGTGCATGATTTCGCATTGACAATATTAACAAATTACACTTATAGTGCGCCTTTCATGTTGGAAGGACATCCCAAGACGCTGACAGTTGAGGGTTTGCCACGGGGCTGCAGGTTGGAATCAAGAGGGTGGTGGGGGGTATGGCTGAAGGCGTGGTCAAAGAGAAAGATCTTGAGACAGGACTTGAAGGAGGGGGCGAGGCGGAGGGATTCGGGAACAACAAGGTTACATTTGTATAGCGCCTTTCACGTCTGGAGGTCATCCCAAGGCCCTGAAAATGGAGTTTCAGAGGGTGGGGGCAGAAAACTGAGGGTTCGGTCGCCAATGGTGGGGTGGGCATGGCGTGGAACATGGAGCAGGCCAGTACTTACCGAACAGGGATGTCTTTTTCACAGAAAGGTTGACAACCTATGCAAAATGCATTTCTAGATTCACTTTTAAGGTTCTGTCCCGGTGTTCTGCTTTCTGCTATTTCTTCATTGGTGGGTGAGTTTTCTATCACTTTTCCTTTGTTTCATTATCCATGGAGCTTTCGGAGATCATGCACCTAACCTCTGGTATTCTCTTCTAAAACCACTTTGTCTTATTACATCTTAAGCTTCAGAAATGGTCTCCTACGAATCTACTGTAGTTTTTGGTCACTACCCTTAAATTTGTTATTTTCCTGCTGGGTTGAGTTCTACCATATTTATCAAGCTTTAGAATTTTTTTTTACATAAAAGATGCTCACGATATCAATGTGTAAAAGCAGGAATATCAATCTATATTTATAACAACCTTGGGTTGCATTTGATATCAACAAATCTAATAATGTATCAGGTTGTTTGAGACTTTTTAATTTTGAGGAAAATTAATTTTTAATAAACATTTTCCCAAGATCTGTAGAATAATAATCTGTTTTGACTAGGTTCAGGAAACAATGCTCAAGACACCAACTGTTATTGTTTTATACTCATTTTGAAAAACACTGGCATTTTACATGTGTTTAACTGCAATTCAAAGTACCTACTAAATTACCAAAGCAACAATTAAATAGTACTTTGGAGTAACTTACACATTGCAGCTTAAATCTCAGCATGTTAAAGCTGTTTCATTAGATTCATTAGCATATTGCTATCACTGTCAGCTTGAAACTGCCTGAATGCTCGTCATGTTGATGAAAAATGGAGGAATCTGGAATAATGCTATTTCCTGCAGTTTGCTGTGTTGTACTTGATGTTCTGTCATATTGTTCTGCTGCTTTCTGCTATATCCCACTGGAAAGGCTTAGTGTATTTCAATGCCGTTATAACTGTATTTGTGTTTCTTTGACTTTATCTAAATTTTTGCTAACTTTTCAGCAGAATTTACAACTTGTAGAAAGTAATCATTGCAAATTTAGACTTGAACTAAAAAAATTGACAGATTTAATCGTGTCTTTTTGCCCTCTTTCTCCCTCTCTCTTTCCCTCTCGCTTAGTATTCTGTCTCTGTCTTTAGCCCTGTTACTAAATTCCTTTTTTCCACCACCCATTCCGTGCCCTTCCTCAGGCCTCCTCAATCTTCATATCAAATGCCAAATGCGAGGAAGTCATGGACTTCTTTTCATCTAAAATACACAACATTTGCCAGGCAGCCTCATTCACCTGCCTCGTGTCACCCACCACCATGCCCTCTCTGTCCCCCTCACCCTCCCCATCATCTGCTCCTACCACCACCCCCATCCTACATTCCTTCCTCCCCATCTCTCCCTCCTCCCTCTCACCCACCACCACCTCCATGAAACCCACCACCTGCTGCCTCAACCCCCTCCCCACCAACTTGCTAGTCACCCAGCTCTCCCTCCTCTGTCCACTATTAGTTGACGTCATCAATGAGTCTTCTCTGGATCAGTCCCTGCCCCCCTCAAAACTGCTGTTATCAAACGCCTCCTCAAAACACCTTCCCTAGATCCCTCAAACCCCAGCCACTGCTGCCCTATTTCTAACCTGCCCTTCCTCGCAAAAATCCTAGAATGCGTTGTTGCCAACCAACTCCGTGCACACCTCTCCTCCCACTCCCTCTTCGAACCCCTCCAGTCCGATTTCCGCCCTGCCCACAGTATAGAGACTACACTTGTGAAAATCACAAATGACATCCTCTCTATCTGTGACCAGGGCTCCCTCTGCCTCCTTGTCCTCCTGGATCTCTCTGCGGTGTTCGACACAGTCGATCACGCCATCCTCCTCCACTGCCTTTCCTCCGTCATCCACCTCAGTGGGACCACACTCGCCTGGTTCGAGTCCTACCTCACAAACCGCCAGCAGTACATCTGCACAAATGGCTTCTCCTCCTGCTGTCACCCGGTTACCTACAGGGTACCCCAAAGATCCATCCTTGGCCCCCTCCTCTTTCTGATCTGCATGCTCCCTCTGGGGATGTCATTCGCAGACATGGGGTACATTTCCACATGTATGTGGACGACACCCATACTCTTTGGCTCTCATCAACGTCTAAAATCTCACGGCTCTTACCTCCTTGACCTCTCCCTAAAACTCTCCGAAACCGTACGCAACCTAGGCGTCAGGTTTGACCCTCATTATCCTTCCTCCCCCACATCCGGTCCCTCACCAGCACCGCTTTCTTCCACCTCCGACGGATCCCCCGTCTCCGGCAATACCTCCCTCCGAAAGCCGCTGAAACCCTGGTCCATGCCTTTGTCACCTCTCGGCTGGACTATTCAAACACCCTCCTCATCGGCCTCTCCTCCACTACTATCCATAAAATCCAGATTATTCAAAACGCTGCCGCCTGCATTCTCATCTGCACCAAATGCCGCTCCCCGATTACCCTAGTCCTTGTCAGACTGCACTGGCTGCCTGTCCCAGAGAAGATTTATTTCAAGATC